GTCGCGCGCGGGCGGCGGCGCCGCGACTGCCCAAGGGCTTCCCGGGGTCGTCCGGAGCGTGCGGGAGCGCTGGTCCCGCTCGGCACGGCCGTAGGGTTTGGGTCTCCTGCATGTGAACGCGGAAATGGGGCTCATTGGCCAGTGGTGGGGGCGAGGAGGACACCCGCCTCCCTGAGGGCGCTGGAGCTGTGGGATAAGGCATTGCCCTCTGCCGTGTTTGCTGTTGAGCTCGCAGAGCTGTAACCTTGTGAGAGCTTGTGTGTGTGTGTGTGTGTGTGTGTGTGTGTGTGTGTGTGTCCCACAGCGAGCGCGCGGGGGGCGCAGCGGCGCTGCCCGTTCTGTCACTCCTGTTTCCCAAACCACCGCGTCTTTCCGGGCTGTCCTCAGCTTTTTCCCAAGGCTCTTTTCGTGCAGGTGGAAATGAAACTAGTATTTTTGATAACATTCAGGGGCTCTGGAACAACCTTCTTTCCCCAAATAGAATATTGTGGTCTGTTAGCCACTGAACTTATGTTTAAAACACTATGTGTTTTGTAGCCTTTTATTAACTCATATGATCTGCTTATAAGAAGGTAGGGACAGAGTTGTTGTTATCTGGTACAGCAGATAACAAGATAATAGCTATATCTATGATATGAATTGATAGTTCCTATGTCTGGTTTATTTAGCTGTCCTAGTCTTGATATGAGAAAGGTCATAATGCTGTTCTTCAAAGTGTCATTAGAAAGGCACTTGGTACGTACAGCAATGCTACTGCCTCCTTATCTTTATGGGAAACACTTACTGTATTGTAGGTTAGTGCCTTTGTTTTGTGGTTGTCTGACTGCTATTTCATATGCTCTGCTACAGCACATCTCACACTTTCTCCTGCCCGCTTCTGAACTGATGATCCCCATCAGTCCCATGACTGCGAGGTGTCTCCCTGAGACTCATTTGTGTTCTCAACTCCAGAATGAAAAATGTGAAGAAAAAGAAATGCTTTCCACCCTCTACCCCCACCCCAAAGTCACTTAAGGCAATGGCATGGAGTTAGGATAATTGGATGTAAAATGCCCAATTAATTAAGCTTGTAGCTTGACTCTTTTTTTGGATGGCTTAAAACATAGTTTTTAATTACATGCCACCATATTTCTGTGTTCTATGGTCCTGACTGAGTGAAGCAGTTTGTAGCCTACAGTTGAGGCACAGTTTCAGGAATTGTATTGCCTCAAATGCAAACAAATCCTTCTTGGACACGAAATAGTCTGAGTGTATGTGAATATTTTATGGAGAAGACCCCACCATTACATATGCACGTTGTTTCTGTGGACTGCTGAATTCTGGTGTTTTCTAACTTTGAGCACTTATTATTTTAATGCTTTTTGCATGTTGTAAGATGTGTACTGTGTTAACTGTCAGATAAAATACTGTGAGATTTTCAGATTTTTTTTTCTCCTGATATATTAAAGAATGATATGTTTTTTTTTAATGGTTGCCCTTTGCCCCCCTTGTTTAGCCCTATTTGTTAGAGGAGATGGGTGAGGGGAACTGATATAGCCTGATTTAGAAATAAAAATTCATGGATTTCGTAATTAATCTGAGACGAGTTTGCATTACTGTAATTTCTTCTGTTCTGCTAACTAGCTGAAAGTTTCACAAATATCACATGTCTAAACAACCAAGTCAGAATCACAAGAACTGCTTTTGGAAAATATTGACTCCTATCAATAGGATTAAATTTTAAATATCTTCATATCAGTGCCAGTTGAAATTAAGCCTAACCATGTAATATTTGCTGTAACTGATGCTGAGGAGCTCAGAACAGGCAGACTGCTTTCTGTGTAAGAGGCAAAGAATAGGAAAAGAAGTTAGGTGTTCTTAGGTTTTCCCTTGATCCTGAAAGGGAATGGAGTGAAGTGATCTGTGCTTTTGTGGTTGAGTCAAAGAAATTGAGATTTTTCAGAATGAAATACCTAGAGCGTGATGGAAAAATAAATTCACATGGAAGTATTTAAATGAGAAACTTCAACTGGGAGGGTTTTGAACACAAACAATTTGGACAGCCTAAATAAGTTTAATTGTGAAGTACTTTGCATTCTGCTAAAGGCAGTTATAGAGGAGATCCAGGTGATCTATGTAAAATATACTTTAAATCTTTGTGTGTGTGTGTTTTTTTTTTTTTTTTTAATAGTTACTATGACAGCATTGGATCCAGTTTGTTTGATGCTGTTTGTGTAAGGGTGTTACCCCTATTTTCCTTTCCCGTATTTTCAGTTAAATTCTTACAATGAGGCCTCAAGAATTGCCAGAGACACTGGAATGTGTTTGTGAACAAGTAGTCCCTTTAGAAATCTGTAGCGACGTTGGTTATGTTTCTGGTGGCTGTAGGGCTTAATTGCTGCTTGTTTTGTACAGTGACATAACCGGTGTCCTACTTGTTTGGCCCTTTTGTATGTGGTGGAACTTCGAATGTGGGATTTTATAGCCAGATTTAGGTGCATTTTTTTTATAAAATGCATAATATGTATATTTTGTTAAGAGAGTTTTTGCACATGATCATGTTATAGCTAATCCCAAAAGAATCTAAAGTTTCTCTGCAGACGACTAGTCAGTGGATGTTTTAAGACTGGATTATGATTGTAGCAACAGTGCAAAAATTAAACTGCTGGCAGTGGAGGGCAAAGGTCCTGGCCTTGGCCTTCAGGTTGCCGTTTTATAGTGAGAAGTGTTGAAAGTGAGAGCTCAGGGGAAGCTCTCTCTGCTGCTCTACTTAATGGTGGCTTTCCCCAACGTCATTCTTAGGGCTACAGGTTTTCGGGATATTAATGATGATCAGACTGTATGTTCCTGTCTCTTTGGTCTCAAATCGGTAGGTTAAATGCTGTTGTGGGTGGCTGAGTTGGGGAACTTCTGCATTAATTTATTACTCTGTGGAGGTTATTTGCTGTTAAGACAGGTCTCAAAGACAAACAAAAGATACTAGTTAAGGCACTAAAATGTTCTGCCTCACTTCATTGGAGGTTATTTGATAGAACTTTCATGTAGAGTCTTTCTTATTCTTTCTTAAGAATAGACTGACCCCGTAGATGGGTCAGTTTTCCATTTGGATTGTCTTGCGAGGTCCCACCGAGTCTCTCCCATGCAGGTTTGTGTGCTTGCTGCTGTCCCCTTGCGCTTCCCTGGAGCGCAGTCAGGCTGCAAGGGCGTTAGTTATGGAAATGAACTGCTGTTGTCCTCTCAAGGCCTGCGGATGGAGGAGATGCTACTAAATACTCTAGGTTAAGAGATAGTTTAACTTACTATTTTATAATGTAAATGTGGAAATCAAATCTCAAGTTGTTAGGCTCTTACAGGCTCATAAACTGCTTAGGAAGGTTAACTGTTACTTTTGTGAGTCATAGAATATTGATGCAGAGCATCTTATACTAGCGCTTTGGTGAAATTGTACATTGATGTTGAGTTTGTTGTAACAAAGCAAGTTGATAAAACATGGCATCTGAAAGGGAAAAATTGAAAGCACAACGCGAGTAAGGAGATAAAGTGGCCTGTTGCTTTTGTTTGTGCTGTCATGGCAGCGGTCCAGCGTTTGCCTCCGGAGCAGCGGGCAGAACAGGAGCCTCTACACGCGGCTCGCAGGCTGGGGGAGATGGCAGGGCGGGCACGAGGAAAGCCCTGCTCGAAGCTTTGCTTCATTCCTCGCTTCGCTCCTCCCTCCGTCCCTGGACGGGGCCTGCACTTCCCGGGAGCATTTCTCAGCAGTGCAAATTAGGGTTAAGTCTCAAACCCTCATGTCTCTGCATACTGTGCAGTGTGCATAAAGAAATGCATAAAGAGTGCATAAAAGTGCATAAAGAAATTTTCAACCTTTCAGCTACATTAGGAAGCTTGTAAACAAAGAGTTAAGAGATACGATTTATACTGAAAGTCAAGGACTCAGGAATGAGGAAATTCTAGTTCTATGACTACTTGTACCATTTTTCTTTGCCTGTTTATTATGTATGGTTGTAGGGGCTAATAAATCATACTTTTTTTTCCTTCCACAAGACTTTACTTCATTCAATATGTGTGATATACAACTGAAAGATGTAATTCATATAAATGGAAGGCTGAAACTTTTCCCTTTGCCATTTTTGGGTGCATTACTTTGCGATTTAACTAGCAGAATTTTTACCTTTTTTTGAGTGCACTGTCTCGCATTTATACTGCAGCCTGAGAGACCCACATTGAGTTAGCGCCCCGTGGTACTGAACAGGTTCATGTTTTTCAGGCAGACCATTACTACGTGTAAACAGTATAATGGAGGCTGGGAACTGCAATGTCATGTGCACAAGTAGTACTTGGTAAAACTTGTGCACTTGTTCCATGTTATAAGTTCGACTAAATTTGCATAAATTTGAATACTCTAAAAAAAAAAGTCTGGAGGAAACTAAATCATTCACATGTAGTCAAAAAATTCTGTGATGTGATAGAACAACCTTTACAAATAATGGAAATAAATAGGATTCACTTTAAAATGCTATGTTATTTATAAGATTGGATTTCTTGTTGGTGCCAGAAGAAATAACTTTTTGAGAGAGACCCATGGAAATTAATGTATAGCCAATTTCAAATGACATCCAGATTTTCCAAGCTGAGCAATAGTGGTTAATATTTTAAGTGCTAATTTTTGTCTTTTCTGGAAATGTTCAAAATTCAAACATTAACATTTATGTTGTTTTCAGGAGACCTAATTCTGTGGCTGCAAGATGTGGGTGTTGTAAAATTGATCAGTTCTTGATATGAAAGGTTGTGTAATGAGGTTTTCCTACTGTGGCAGTTAATGTGTTTTACAATTCTTCAGTGCGGCTTATGCAGAACTTGAGGCTACTGTGATACTCTGTGACCTCCATGAGAATGTGAGGATTGCTTGTATAAGGGAAGCTTTCAGGCCTTTAATTTGTATTTTTAATATTTTTATGGAAAAAAAAATGCCTGGCAAAAGACAGTGCGATTATTTTCCTTCCTTCCGCCTTTTCTCTTCACTTTGTTTTGCCCTCATTAACAATAGATCAATTTTAGTTTATGTTAGGAAACATGACCCCTCTATTTCAAAAGACAAACTCGTTGCTTCCTGTCAGCTTTGATGGAAACTTTTTGACAAAGTAAAATTAACTTCCCTTTAATGTTGTGAACTCATGAAACACATGTGAGAGTGTCTTGTATTCTTGTTTTTAAAGAAAAAAAAACAGTAATGAACACACTTTACAGGAAGCTGAATGGGCTAAATTCGCCTTTGCTGTCCAGGTCACAAGTTATATAGGAATATTTGTGGATTTCACTGGAGTTTATAGTTAGTATTTGTTATCTGCTGCTATCACACTGCTTTTCTAGGTATATATTTTTGGAATAAATGCTTATTGTAGAATTGTTCCAGCCTTGTGAAGAATTTGAGTGATTTGGATTTATGCTACAAGAAGGGAAAATTAAAGTTACAGATGTCTAAGGATGGTTAGCCTGTGCATAATGCAAATGTGCATTTCTATAGGCTAACTACATGCTGCTTGCACAGCCATGTGTTGGCTAAATCTTTCTGAAGTGCTGCTCTAGTAATTTTTGTGCGTTATGCATGCGTTCCCATGGGGGTTTCATGCTTTTATCAACAGGTACTTACACCTCCAAAATAACTACATAAATTAAAGATTATCTTTTTAAATGTTATCTTTTTGCACGCTTCTTCAAAAGATAAGTTTTAGTTGAATGATAGAGCCTAGTGAAATATATTTGCTGTCTGTCTTAACACTTGTTGTTGTTGCAGGTATTAAATATGCTGTTGTCAATAGGAATGCTGATGTTGTCTGCAACTCAGATATACACTATTTTGACAGTTCAGTTATTCGCTTTCCTGAATCTTTTGCCTGTGGAGGCAGATATTTTAGCAGTAAGTATAAGTATTTTCTTTACACATGGATGGAATCTTTAATAATGCTACTAGCTTTTATAATGCTACTAATGCTAGTAGTTGCAGCTACTAAAAATAATTAAATATACAAAGTGTAATAGTGTATTCTCTGCTATTCATGGTAATATCTAGGAAAGTTGTTAACACTATAAATTTAGGAGTGAGAGAAAATCCTTGAAATAAATAGTTCAAATAGAAATACATAAAGTTGGTCACAGTGTGGGATAGATGAGTACTGAATTATGTTATTTGGATCTTAAGATTGTTATTACTTTATCGTCTTTGTAGTTAAAAAAATAAGCAACAGCGCAGATTGTTTTATTATTGTGTATTGTCATCATCATTTTACAAGGAAACTTTCTACAGCTTTCTACTGTAAAACTGATTTTTTTCCCCTTTCTCCCACAAAGCCCACGCTTCCTCTTTTTATATGAAAAAATAATTTCCTTCCTTGCTTACTTCTGCTTTCAGGGGACATACTTTAAAAATAAACATTCTTAGCAACAACAAAAAAAGTAATTCTGAAATTTTAGTTTTATCTCTAAAGTCTTTGGATTTAGGCACCTTATAGGTTTGGAAGTCTCTGTGGGTTAATGAAATTCAGGCAAATTTTTACATTTTCTCCAAGAAAGTAAATTCTCTTTCCCCCCCCTACTGATTTAGGTATATTTTATGCTTCTCTGTTCTCATACAACTGCAGCTTTTAATCAGGGATTTATGTTTTTAAAAGTTTCAGTTTTGTGTGTGGAGCATGATTGTTTTTTTTTTAATAATGAGTAAAAATACAGGTTTGTTACTGATCCCTAGCAGGAGGCCAGGTAGGTGACTCCAGGGAAAGCAACATGACAAATACAAGAACAGTGTTTGCACAATGGTAGATGAGGAGGGTGAAGGAAGGCAGCTGACTTGCACAGAGCTGGGCTATGTGCTTCTGAATAGCAGATAGCAGATAAAGGTTGTGGGAAGCAGAGGCATTACACAAACCCCATTCTGTTGAAGTTTGCTCCATTCTCACCTTACTACTAATTTTGTAAAAAGTCTGCCAGAAGGGAGCTCCTTTGAAATTTTACTCCTTTCAGAAGAGTAAGATTACTCATAAAAGGATTAGTCTTTGAATTAGAGTTTGAGTTCCATGTCTAAGTCTGGTTATTAGGAAAGGCATTAGCACTTCGAAATAAAAGGTGATATTTTAGTTATTGTGTTTGGCAGTAGAATTATACAGTAAAGAAATGTTCGAGTCACTAATCTATCTATTTTAACCAGCAACTGCCAATAATGTGCATTCAAGTTAATTATTATCTAATTGGCTTTTGCGGGAACTTTTGCAGGAAGCTAACTTTCTTACATAAAATGAAAATAAGTTTTATCTTGCATCCGGTTTTTATTCCATGAATTCTCCACTGGATAGTCATCTCATAGGCCTGTTAAAGATCACATCAGGAAAAAGGAGAGAAGGTTTCCACAAACTTAAGTTCTTTACAGTATTCCTGTATGTTGAAATGGAAGCTGGTGTAAAAGAAAACTCTAAAGCTGGTTAACCTGAGTTAGTTACTATCCTGAATAGATAATGGGTAACTAAGGAAGGATAACATGGAGGCTATTCTTTGCTATCAACAAACCATTTTTTAAAAGCTGCTTTTCAGTGTATATAAGTTAAAGCAAATGTATATGTATGTTTTTTTTTTTTTGCTTAAGTATTTTCAGAGGAGTTTGCTGCTTTTCTTCTGTAAATGTGGTGATACTTGAAATGCGAGTAGTAGAAAGAAAGACTTAGCATAAGCATAAGTTGATAAATAACTTTTTTTTTTTAGACTGCTGGGTAGCATAAGAATGATCTTTCCATATGAACGGAAGACCTGTAGAAGAAGCAGTTTATAATTTTACTAGCATTGCAAGAGCTATTACACTTGATAAATGCTTTAGTCTAAAAAGTGCATGATACTATTTATTTGTTCTTAGAATTATGTATTTCTCTCTTATTGCAAACCTAAACTTTTTTATAATCTTTTTCTCTTAGTATAACTTTGAAAATGGAACCCAGACCTTTGATGATCTACCTGCTAGGTTTGGCTACAGGCTGCCAGCAGAAGGCCTGAAGGTAATAAAAAAAAAAAAAAAAAAAAAAAAAAAGGGGGGGGGGGGGAAAAAAACCCAAAAAACCCCACAA